TCTTCAGCCACCAAAGGCCGGCCAAAAGTCACACCTTTTTGACCGATTACAAACAACTCCCAAGGATGTCCCTGAAGGTATCAGGACACCAAAACGGCAACACTCCTCGAGGTTCGACATATCCGATCAGCGCCAAAGAGAACTTGAGAAGCTTCCTGGCTTCCACGAGGTCCCCCCGAACCGGCGCCAGGATTTGTTCATGCAAAAGATTGACCAGTGTAATATCATTTTCGACTTTAACGATCCGACTGGCGATATGAAATCCAAGGAGATCAAGCGACTTGCCCTGCATGAATTATTAGACTATGTGGCAAACAACAGATCCGTCATTACTGACCCCATGTATCCCCGTGTGGTGGACATGTTCGCCAAAAACCTTTTCCGCCCTATTCCCCCTCCCGTAAACCCTCAAGGAGACGCGTTCGACCCAGAAGAGGATGAACCCGTTCTTGAAGTCGCATGGCCGCATATTCAGGTTGTTTATGAATTTTTTCTTCGGTTTATCGAGAGCCAAGATTTCAATACCAATATAGCAAAAGCGTACATCGATCATCAGTTTGTTTTACAAGTATGTTGAGTTGTGGCGGTGGTCTCGCCGCCCTTTCTAGATTTTACAAGTACTGACCTATATGGAAGCTACTGGAACTCTTCGATTCCGAAGACCCTCGCGAACGAGACTTCCTCAAAACAACCCTTCATCGCATCTACGGCAAATTCCTCAATCTACGTTCTTACATTCGACGGTCGATCAACAACGTTTTCTTCCAGTTCATGTACGAGACCGAACGCTTTAATGGAGTAGCAGAGCTGCTCGAGATTCTTGGATCTATTATTAATGGCTTCGCCCTCCCGCTTAAGGAGGAGCACAAGCTCTTCTTGACGCGTGTTTTGATTCCCCTCCATAAAGTAAAGAGTCTGAGCATGTATCACCCCCAACTGGCCTATTGCATTGTTCAATTCCTTGAAAAGGACTCTGCGCTCACTGAAGAGGTATGTTTTTTTTTTTTAAATTTCTTGTCCGTCCCTTTATTCCTGTTTCTTGTTTTTAGCAAAGTTGACTCGTTCGTTTTTTCTAGGTTGTCCTTGGGCTTCTCCGCTACTGGCCAAAAGTAAATAGCACGAAAGAGGTCATGTTTTTGAATGAAGTCGAAGATATATTTGAAGTCATGGACCCCGCAGAATTTGCCAAGGTCCAAGAGCCGCTGTTCAATCAACTGGCGAAATCGGTCGCTAGTCCCCATTTTCAGGTTTGTCCCCATCTCAAAATAAATTTGACTGAGTCATTTTTTTGTTATTAAACATATCTCCCTCTAGGTTGCTGAACGGGCCCTATATTTTTGGAACAATGAGTACTTCTGCAATCTAGTCACGGATAACGTAGAGACTATCCTCCCTATTATGTTTGCTCCACTCTACGAGAATTCAAAAGGCCATTGGAACAGGTGAGAGATCTCTAAACCCGAAGTTGAAAATGCGATAACCACCTTTACTTTTCTCACACCCTCCCGACAGGACCATCCACAGCATGGTATACAATGCGATGAAACTCTTCATGGAGATCAATCCACAACTATTCGACGATTGCTCCCACGACTACACAGAATTACAATCAACAGCAGAAGCGCGTGAGAAGGATAGACAGAGCAAATGGGACAGACTGCAAAAACTAGCCCAATCTCGAAAGAGCTTGACAGGTACAGGCACAGCAACGGAGCCATCTTCACTATCACTCAATGCTACTAATGCTGCGCCCTCTACATCATCTCCACCACCATCATCTGACGGACGACCAAGCCCATCTCTTACTACGGACGATATGGACAAGGCAACCCATGATAGCCAACAACGGCTTAACGCGCTGAAACTGCAGGATGAATCGAATGTGAGCAAGGAGCGGCGGTTGCGGGAGCGGGATGGGCAAAACCTGAATTCGGTTAGTGCTTCATAAGATTTACAAGGGAAATAAGTGAGTTAAAGGGAGCAAGAACAGTGAATAGAGAAAGAAGATGAAGGGGGAGAAAGAAAGAAAAAGATCCCTTGTATCTGCAGCGAGCCATTTCATGCATATCACGCACCTTTTCCACTTGTTATTTGTCAATTTTCCTTTCTCCATTTCCGCCATTTCAACTCTTTTGTCAACTCTTCCAAATTCTTCCCTTCTCATGCCAAAATGGCTGTATCCAAAAATGATCATATATATATTCTCATTTATCTTCTCTCTGCCTTTGTCTTTGTCCTTGACTTGCACCGTAGCCAAAGCGGTTTTTTTTGTGCTATTTTGAGTGCCCGTGGAGGTGCATGTGAATAACATTTTTCTAACATTTACACCGCGGGTTTATTACCTCCGCTTATTTGATTCCAGCAGAGGCGCCGTCACGGATCATTCGATGACACTCGCTCACGCAGGGCAGGATCGGGATATGGGATTGGTGGTGAACATACCTCGAATGCTACTGCTGCAACAACTAGTGGTAGTAGCAGTGGTAGGAAGCGTGGGGAGCGGCGGGGTTCTCTTGGGAGTAATAATGCTACTAATGATAATCATAATAGCAGCGGCAGTGGTGGGGGAGGAGGAGGAGGGTTCGCATCATCGACATCAGCGCGTATGCCTACGTTGGCCCGGAGCAATTCGATGAAGTAAAAGAGGAGTGGACGGACGGACGGATTGATTATTGACTGATTTATTGTGATTGTTGATGGATTGTCGATCCCAGATCTGCTGGTTGGGTTCTGCTGGTTGGGTTCTTTTTGTCTTCTCTTACTTCCAGGGATGATATACTCCGTTTCTTCACGTTGCTGCCTTCGCTGACTGTCCCCTTTTGGTTGTTCACCTTTTATTATATATTTCTTCCCCCTCTTTTGTTATTCTGCTTCTTCTTCTTCTCCTTCTTCTTTACCCGTTTGCCTTTTTCTTCCTCTCTGTTCCGGGTGGCACAACCTGAACCGCTCCTCTTTTTTCACAAACTTCGCACAGCTCTGTCCAAAATTTGATGAATGGAAGGCATAGCGATTAGCGTGTTGCGATGATGCGTTTTCTTATTTCATTTCTCGTATTTTACATATCTTCTAAATTCTCAAAAAATCTTGATCTTACTACACCTACAAACACATTTCAAAATGTCGTTTGTTTCCATTTTTGTTTCATTACATTTCCTCCCTTTCCACCCGTCCTCTGCCCGTCCTCTTCCTACACCTAGCAATTCATTCACGTGGATTGATTTTTTTCGATCGGTCATTGCCCGAGTGCTCGGGTACATAACACGAGTTTTATATTGCCTCAACTCGTTATTCGGTTTCATGCTTCTCTTCCATTGCCCGTTTTGTTACTTTATGTGTAGCGGAACGCCTTTTTTCATAAAGTTTTCTCCTTTATGCCTATTCCCGCCCCCCCCCTCCTCTTTTTTTTTTTTTTTTTTTTCATATATATATTGCTCTTTTTGCGATTTGGCATTCGTTTTAGAACTGTGTTATGCTATTGTCCGGTTTGTTAAGGGGAAATAAAAGAACTACTATAACTGGTTTTGGCGGATGCCGGCGTTTCCTCATTTTTCTTATTCTCTTTTGTCCCATGATGTATGATGCCGATGGGACTAAAATTGGTGTCCCTTTATTCAACCTTTATCGATATGGTTTTGTGCTCATGTTTCCTGTGACTATCCCATGTTTGACCGCCTTATTCCTTTTGTTCTCGCTTCCATTTTTTGCCCTTCCTCCTCTTTCAAATAGCTCTGAAATCTATGCCCAAAAGGATTTTGTAAATGGCATGAATTTACAATAATGAATGTGAAGATCCTCTGGCTAGCCGTAACTGTCTGAACCAAGGGCCTCGCGCGGGTATTGACTTTAGGTGACTAGACAAGCATCTGACTAAGCAGGGCTTGGCTAGCAAGTAGCCACGGGAATACATTTATCCAGCCGCGCTAAACGCTATGACTAGTCCTATATTGGCCTAGTGAATTGTACGGGGTCTACGCCCTTTCCCCAGCTCTAATTCAATCTATCGCTCCTCTGTCCATTTGCGCCCGCAATCTCCGCTCTTCACCCTCCGACCTCTGCCTCCGCTACCACGGCCTCCCACCATTACGACTCATGATTCTTCCCTGAATTCTCCAATTAATATACTAATTCTCCAACCCATTGGCCAAAATATGTTCTTGTGAAATTGCGCCAATTTTTTCTGCGCGCGTTCGTACCTTTTCCACTCGCGTGTGGTGAGCCCCCGAAAAGCTGCCGGAACAAGCCCAGAGGAACACACCAAGTTACCACGCCCGTTACCCCTCCGAATGAATCTTGGTAGAGCGCTGGGGTGAAAATATCTCGCACTAGGCCCCGCTGGAGGGGCCTAGCGTTTCTGATCCTTCTCGCTTGCTTCAATTTCAGGTGTAAATCCTCTGTGCAGAGAGAAGCAAGACCGAACGGTTACATACTACAATGGCCAACTCTCCCAGTATGGCTACGGCTATGGAGCGGAATATTGATGTCTATGCGACTCGGTTGGCGGATGTGACTATTGGTAAGGGGGAATTTCTTTTCTTTCGATCTTATCTTTTGCCCTGTTTTTTTCTTTTTCTTTTTTTTTTGGGAGGGATTATATGCCGCTCCTGCTGGCTGCATCATCCGCATGCCTGCACTGCTAGGGATGCTTATCTTACGTCGCGTCAACCGCTAACTGCTTCTTCCTTTTTTTGGCTGCTTCTGTAGAAACTAAGACGAGGACGAATATCGCGATCGAGCTGCGCGACTCACTAGAGCAGCTATGTTCTGGTCCCAGTTACACCATCTTTCTGGCGAAGCTTTGGCCGGTGTTCAAGAAGATACTCAAGGGCGAGCCGGTCTTTGTTAGTTTATCTTATGAACAGGTATGGGTTCTAATTCTCCATATCCCTCCCATACCACTTCCGCTGTTTTTTTTTTCTCTTGTCTCCGTCTGCTAAGATTCAAATTCCTTTCGCTTGACTGTTTTAGAAACTGCGCAACTGCGTCCTCGAAATCCTCCATCGACTCCCATTAGACCTACCTGATGTCGAACCATATGCCGGTGATATGGTCGATCTCCTACTAGAGCTCGTTCGAATTGAGAATGAGGACAATGCGGTCCTTTGTATGAAAACAATCATGGATCTGGAACGACGGCAGGCCAAAGCTACACAGACGAGAGTCAAACCCTTCCTGGAACTTATCCAGGAGATGTTTGAGACAATGGAACAGGTCGTTCGGGATACCTTCGATAGCCCAGCGTCAGGAGCGCAAGGCATGCCATCAACTCCTGGCGGGTCATCGCAGAATTTTCAATCCCCACGGCCCAGCTCCCCAGCCACCTCAGTCTCTGATCTCGTCCCCGATCAACAATCGAACCAGCAGTTGTTGAGAGGCATGCAGTCGTTTAAAGTCCTGGCAGAGTGTCCGATCATTGTCGTGTCGATATTTCAAGCACATCGTAGTGTCGTTTCCACCAGCGTCAAGGTCTTCGTGCCACTAATCAAAGGCATTCTACTCCTACAGGCGAAACCGCAAGAAAAGGCACATGCGGAGGCTGCGGCTCAGGGGATGATTTTCACTGGCGTGTGCAAGGAGATCAAGAACAGAGCGGCCTTTGGCGAGTTTATCACTGCGCAAGTGAAGACGATGAGCTTTCTCGCTTATCTGCTTCGGATGTATGCGAACCAGCTGCAGGATTTCCTTCCGTCCCTTCCAGGTGTCGTTGTGCGACTTTTGCAGGATTGCCCGCGTGAGAAATCAAGTTCTCGAAAGGAATTACTAGTCGCCATACGTCATATCATCAATTTCAATTACCGCAAGATCTTCCTAGATAAGATTGATGAGCTCCTCCAAGTTTTATGGACCCCATCTCGTCGTAACTGTTTATGAGGCGATGCGGCCACTGGCGTACAGCATGCTTGCTGACCTCATACATCATGTCCGCGAGTCTCTCAATCGCGATCAGATTCGTCGGACAGTGGAGGTTTATACGAAGAATCTTCACGACGAATTCCCCGGCACCAGTTTCCAGACCATGAGCGCCAAGTTGCTGTTGAATATGGCTGAGCGAATAGCGAAACTTCAAGATAAGCAGGATGCGAGATATTTCTTGGTGATGATTTTAGATGCTATTGGAGATAAATTTGCGGCCATGAATCACCAGTTTGATAACGCGGTCAAGCTGTCACGGGCATCGAAGCTACAGGCAGAGAACACGAAGGAATCTTACCTCGCGGAAAACGATAACCCACCGGACTGGGATGAAATCGATATCTTTTCCGCGGCCCCCGTAAAGACTTCAAATCCGCGAGAGCGCAATGCCGATCCCGTTGCAGATAATAAATTCCTTTTTAACAATCTCGTGAAGGGGCTGAAGAGTTTATTTTATACGCTGAAAGCAACTAATCCGGATAACATGAACATCGACGAAACCATTGTTCCCCCCAATTGGCCCGAGGTGTCTTTTGGTTACAAGGCGGAGGAGGTGCATGTGATCAAGAAGCTCTTCCACGAGGGGGCTAAAGTTTTCAAGTATTACGGAATTGATCAGCCCGAACCTGAGGTGCAATACACTTCTCCCCTGGAATTCCTTGCTAGCCAGTATATGCAGCAGATGGGTAAAGAGGAGAAGGAGCTTCTAGAAACCTTTGGCACCATTTTCCATTGCATCGACACCGCCACGTTCCATGAGGTTTTCGATACTGAGATTCCATACCTTCATGAGCTTATGTTTCAGCATTCTTCGTTGTTGCATCTGCCACAGTTCTTCCTCGCAAGTGAAGCGACATCTCCAGCCTTCGCGGGGATGGTACTGCAATACCTCATGGATCGAATTCATGAAGTGGGTACTTCGGATGTGTCCAAATCAAGGATTCTGCTGCGGATGTTTAAGCTGTCATTCATGGCAGTCACACTTTTCTCCTCACAGAACGAGCAGGTTTTGCACCCCCACCTCACCAAAATCGTCACCAAGTGTATAGAGCTCTCCGTTACCGCTGAGGAACCGATGAATTATTTCCTCCTCCTCCGTTCGCTGTTCCGAAGTATAGGTGGAGGCAGATTTGAACTCCTTTACAAGGAAATCCTACCACTTCTTGAGATGCTTCTTGAGACCTTTAATAACCTTCTCCTGAGCGCCCGGAAACCACAAGAACGGGATCTTTACGTCGAACTCACTTTAACAGTCCCAGCCCGTCTTAGCCATCTACTTCCCCATCTTAGTCACCTAATGCGTCCCATTGTCGTTGCACTTCGGGCTAGCTCCGAACTCGTTGGTCAAGGTCTCCGCACTCTCGAGCTTTGTGTTGACAACTTGACTGCAGCGTATCTAGACCCCATAATGGCGCCGATCGTAGATGAACTGATGACGGCTCTTTGGGACCATCTTCGTCCAAACCCTTATAGCCATTTCCACGCACATACTACCATGCGAATCCTGGGGAAACTTGGTGGCCGCAATCGGAAATTCCTCAACCATCCGCCAGAATTGTCGTTTCAGCAGTTTGCTGATGATATTCCTAGTATAGATATTAAACTCATCGGAGGTTCAAGCAAGGAGCGTGCTTTTCCGTTGGATATTGGGATCGATTTGGCACTTGGGAAGTTGCTTGAAGTACCCAGGACGCCGGCGGCGAAAGCCTCTGATGCTTATTACAAGCAACAAGCGTACCATATGCTGAGTTCCCAGCTGAAGCTCTACATTGGTTTTGATCACCCGCCTGAGGACCTAGCTGCCCTAGTGAGACTTCAGGCGAACGATTTAGCCGAAGGTAGACTAACTGCAGGTCCCGATATTCTGGAAAAATCCGAACGAAGTGGCTCGATTCCGAAGAAGACGGTTCAGGAAGAGACCCTGAAGAAGTTGCTGAAGGCCTGCATTGTTGCTACAACCATTCCGGACTTAAAGCAGACTGCGACTTCATTCGTCGTGGACGTTTGCCGCCATTTCACCATCATCGAAGTAGGACGATCGCTCGCGCAAGCGAGACACGCTCGGAAGCCCTTCAATGTTAACTCTGGAGAAGGTCCCATGTACCTTGACACTCGAGTGCTTGCGGATGCCCTTGTGGAGTGCTTTTCGTCAGAGCACCCTAGTGTCCGCGACGCGGCTAAAAGCGCTATGCTTGCTACACGCGACGCGGCCGCTATTCTCTTCGGTTCTCCGGACAAAATTGCCAAACTGTCCTTTTTCTCGCATCTCGCGCGGGTATTCTGCCACAACTGTCATGAGGAAGAGTGGTTTACAAAAGCAGGCGGAAGTCTGGGAATCCAAGTCTTTGTTACGGAGCTTGATTTGGGCACGCCATGGTTGGTTGATCGGCAGGCGGAGTTCGTCAGGGCCCTGATGTATGTTATCAAAGACACGCCGACGGATTTACCTGCCAGCACGAGGATACAGGCGCAGGATACGCTCGACAAAATTCTTCGCAGATGTCAAACTGGCGTGTCCAAAGAGGATTTGAAGAATGAGAAGAGCAGGCTTTCCAGCCTTTGCGGCTTTTTTAGCTATGAACTCTCACACATGAGCAAACACGTTCGCGAGACTTCTCAACAGGCTTTTGAGACTATTGCCCAAGCTATTGGTGCGGAGAAGCATGAGCTTCTCGCTCCTGTAAAGGATCGACTTCTACAACCGATCTTTAATAAGCCCCTTCGTGCTCTGCCGTTCCCTACAGAGATTGGGTTCATCGATGCCATCACTTTTTGTCTAGGCCTTCATCATGGAATTGTGACATTCAACGATCAACTGAATAGACTGCTGATGGAATCGTTGGCACTGGTTGATGTCGACGATGAATCTCTCGCACCAAAGCCAAATGAATTCAAAACCGCAGAACAAATTGTAAACCTCCGAGTCTCCTGTCTTCGTTTGTTGTCTATGGCAATGGGTTTCCCAGAGTTTGCGAGCGGCCCGCAGAATACGGGCCGTGCGCGTGTCATCGCTGTCTTCTTCAAATCGCTTTATTCTCGCTCGCCGGAGATTATCGAGGCGGCTAACTCTGGTCTGCGTGATGTGTTGACACAGACAAATAAACTGCCGAAGGATTTGCTACAGAACGGCCTTCGTCCCATCCTCATGAACCTGCAGGATCCAAAACGGTTGAGTGTTGCTGGCCTTGATGGCCTAGCTAGGCTGCTCACTCTGCTCACCAACTATTTCAAGGTAGAGATTGGCTCTCGATTGCTGGACCATTTAAAGGTTATTGCCGATGATAGCATTCTCCAACGGGTATCATTTACGCTCATTGAGCAGAGCCCATCCATGAAAATCGTGGCGGCTATCTTCAACATTTTCCATCTCTTACCCCCTGCTGCGACAACCTTTATGGAGCAACTGGTGAACAAGGTACTGGCTTTAGAGGAAAAATTGCGGAGGACCTCGAACAGTCCCTTTAGGAAACCGCTCGTGAAATACCTTAATCGTTACGCGAAGGAAACCTGGGATTTCTTTCGCATCCGCTTGAACGACGAACGATATGGCCGCTTCTTTGGCCAGATACTGATGAACCCGGATAGCGAAGCCATCCGATCGGCTATCGTGGCGGAGAGTGATTCATTAGTTTCCGTTGCATTTGGACAGGAGTCCGTGGACAACAAAAATACCACCGTCATTAATGCCATATATGTCATCTACGCTGTATGCTTCCATGATCCAGCCAAGAGCTGGCTGAAAAACCATCCTGACCTTAAACGACATCTCATGAACGCGGGGCGGGACCTCGAAAGCAAGCTTCGCGCCGACAAGTTGCCGCCTAACGAGCGTCTCCGGGTGGAACAATGTGAAGGTCAACTTATGGACATTTTCTTGTCATACTTGACTCATTCGCTGCAGGACATGGATTTCCTTTTTGAGATCGTCAATAGATTATCTTTACGCGAACTCAAGACAACCCTGGCTTTTCCCAAATTCCTTTACCAACACATCATCACAAATGAATCGATTGATTATCGGCGTTCTCTTGTGATGCGTTGTTTGGACCTGTACGGCCAGCGCAACGTGTCACAAAAGATGAAAACTTATGCATTTCACAACCTCGTCAACCCCATCTTTGCAATGGACGTTAAGAACATCTGGGGTCAGCATTTTTCATCGGGCCCGAGATTAGTAGATAAGGCGATGACCGAAGCCATCCACAATAGACTCTGGAAGCCACAGCTAGGTGACATCAGTGAAGAGTCCAGCCAGCCAGGCGTGGACCATTCGCGCATGGAACTTCTCCAGTTGTCCGCCTTGCTCATCAAATATCACCATACAATCGTGCAGGATACCCGCAAGGATATCATCAAGTTTGCCTGGAGTTATATTCGCCTGGAGGATATTATCAACAAGTACGGCGCCTACGTTTTGATCAGCTACTTCATCTCGCACTACGAGACACCGTCCAAGATCGTGATACAGATATACGTCGCTTTGTTGCGAGCGCATCAAAACGAAGGCAAGGCGTTAGTGACGCAAGCTTTGGAAATTCTAGCCCCTGTGCTTCCAAGGAGAGTAAATTCAGGCGGAGATTCGCGATACCCCTTGTGGGCTAGGTGGCCCCGGCGGATTCTGGCTGAGGAGACAGCGAACCTACAACAAGTCCAGAGCATCTTCCAATTTCTCGTTCGGCAACCAGATCTGTTCTACGAATCTCGAGAAAACTTCGTTCCACTTATTGTCCCGTCTCTTATCAAAATCGCTGGTCCCCCGAACCCGTCCAACGAAAGCAAGAAACTGGCGTTAAACTTGATTGGCTTGATCTGGGCGTGGGAAGAAAGGCGTGTCCGAGAGGTTGCTGTGCTTCGAGCACCTGTCACAGAAGAGACACAGACAATATCATGCACCGCCTTGGCACCGCCTACAGTGAGGGAGCGACCGGAATACATAGTTCCCCTTGATCTTCGCACAGCCCTTGTCAAATACCTTGTTACATTTATTTGTGGCCTTCCGGAACGGTACCGGGTCCCTGCGGCCAGGTTCCGGGAAAAGAGCAACTCACGGCCTGCACTCCCTATTATCCATGGCGAGATGATCAAGAAGGCTATGCAGCTATTGACAGGTCTACTGTCCCCTGATTACTGGGGGGATTTGGATATCGATTTGTATCAAAAAGTGACGGAGCCGATTCTCACTGGGGATAAAGCTGACAAACCTGATGAGAAGCACACGACGAACATGATCAATGCTCTGCAGGTTATTCGGATCCTTCTCGCTTCTAAACCTAATGAATGGGTGGTAAACCGCTCCACACTCTTGCAAAAGTTGTTCGAGAAACCCCTGCGATCAGACAATCCTGAGATCCAGGACTGTTTACACGGAGTCAATGATGAGACAGATGCCGCACCATTGCCACCACCAGTTAAGCATGCTTTGGATGCGATGCCTGCGGATGACCATCCCGAAGATGAGGATGCGATGGATGTTGATACTTCCCCTTCTGAGTTTGTTACGTACCTCTCCGCAATCGCCACAGAAGCGTTATCTGCCAGTAATTACATTGCAGCCATTAACATCCTTTGGACCTTGTCGAAGTGCAAGCCGGCAGAAATCGATCAACATGTTCTTCACATCATGAAGATATTCTCACTAAAACTTGCCAAAGACCACGTTTCCGCGTATGCAAATAGTGGCAATAATAACTCATCTAATACCGCTGGAAATACAGCCAATATGCGGCCTGGTGAACAGCAGCATCCTTCACCTGATGATGCGGAGTTTGAAATCGGTGTTGATTTGATTTCGAAGACTATTGATCTGCTTGCTGCAAGAATGTCCAACCTGGGAGAACAGCGGAGGCCGTTCCTCAGCGTGTTAGCTCAGCTTGTCGAACGCTCTCAGGACATCCGCCTCTGTACTAAGATCCTGCGGATGGCTGAATCTTGGATCTTCAACTCGACAGAGTCATGGCCGACGCTCAAGGAGAAAACTGCAGTTTTGCATAAGATGCTCCTATTCGAATCCAGACCAGACCAGACACCCCTCAAGCAATTTCTGGAGCTAGTCATACGCATCTATGAGGATCCCAAGATCACAAGAACTGAGTTGACCGTTCGACTGGAACACGCTTTCCTCATAGGCACACGAGCACAGGATGTCGAAATGCGCAATCGCTTCATGTCCATTTTCGACCGTAGCTTGACGAGATCGGCAAATACTCGGCTCAGCTATGTTCTCACGTCGCAGAATTGGGATACACTTGCAGACTCCTTCTGGCTCACACAGGCTTCCCAATTGGTTATTGGCTCGATCGACATGAGTACAACTGCTCGACTCCACCCAGAAGACTTTACTGTTTCGCCCACAGCATTCCTATTCGGAAGGTCAGACAAAGATCCCAGAAAGGACAGCTTGATGGTGGACAGCCATCTAGAGTCTCTGTTCTCAGATCATAGGAAATTCTGCCAGGAACTGGGCGATGTCAAAGTTCGTGATATTCTTGAGCCCCTCTCGCAGCTTCAGCATGCAGATACCAAGGTTGCATATCGGATCTGGGTAACCCTTTTTACGATTTGTTGGTCTACGTTGAATCGGGATGAGCGGAGCGACTTGGAAAAGGGGATGGTAACGTTGCTCACACGCGAGTATCATCGCGGCCAAATCGACGACCGGCCAAATGTTATCCAGGCACTTCTCGAAGGAGTGGTTAGGGCCAAGCCACGGTTTAAGATCCCGCCGCATGTAATGAAATATCTCAGTCGCACATACGATGCTTGGTATATTGCTGCGTGTGGGCTTGAGGAGTCGGCTATTAGCCCACTGATTGACACACCCGCCGTTCGTGAAAGTAACCTCGATGCTCTAGTTGAGATATACGCTGGATTGCAAGAAGATGACTTGTTCTACGGCACCTGGCGCAGACGGTGTAAGTTTGTTGAAACCAATGCTGCACTCTCTTATGAACAGCAGGGAATGTGGGATAAATCGCAGCAGCTGTACGAGTCAGCACAAATCAAGGCACGTACTGGGGCTGTTCCATTCTCGCAAGGGGAGTATTTCCTCTGGGAGGACCACTGGATTATTTGCGCGCAGAAGCTGCAGCAGTGGGACATATTGAGCGATTTCGCGAAACATGAGAACTTCAACGATCTTCTTTTGGAGGCGACTTGGAGAAACCTTGACAACTGGCAGGGTGAAGCGAATCGTGATCAGTTGGATTCCTTGATTAAATCTGTTTCTGACGCCCCAACTCCTCGACGGACGTTCTTCCAGGCGTTCATGTCCCTTCTCAAGTTTCATGGAAAGCAAGAAAACCCTCAAGATTTCAATAACATATGCGATGAATCTATCCAATTATCGATCCGAAAATGGCACCAGCTTCCTAAACGGATTACAAATGCACATATTCCGATCCTTCAAAATTTCCAGCAGCTAGTCGAGCTGCATGATGCCAGTGTTATCTGTACGAGCTTGACGCAGACAAATGAAAGGAATCTAGATACCAAGTCCGCGGAGCTGAAGTTGTTGCTTGCCACATGGCGCGATCGACTGCCAAATGTATGGGACGATATTAATGCTTGGCAAGACTTAGTTACATGGCGACAGCATATTTTCCAGTTAATCAATGGGACCTATCTCAGCCTTCTCCCACAATCAAATACTGTGACGAGCAATTCCTACGCTTATCGAGGTTATCACGAGACAGCCTGGATTATAAACCGCTTTGCTCATGTTGCACGGAAACACCAAATGCCTGAAGTGTGTATCAACCAGCTTAGTCGCATCTACACACTACCCAATATTGAGATCCAGGAGGCATTCCTCAAATTAAGAGAGCAAGCGAAGTGCCATTACCAGAACCCGAAGGAACTGAACAGCGGACTCGATGTGATTAATAATACGAACCTGAACTACTTCAACGCCCAACAGAAAGCCGAGTTTTATACCTTGAAGGGCATGTTCCTCGCCAAACTCAACCATACCAATGAGGCCAACGAAGCGTTCGGGGTTGCTCTATACTACGATCTGCGACTTGCCAAAGCTTGGGCTGAATGGGGTCAATACAGCGATCAACGATTCAAAGAGTCTCCTAAGGAACTGGAACTCGCAAGCAATGCCGTCAGCTGCTATCTCGAGGCAGCCGGCTTATACAAGAGTTCCAAGTCAAGGAAGCTTTTGAGTCGCATCCTTTGGCTGCTCAGTCTAGACAACGAAGAAGGGAAAATCGCCTCCGCCTTTGAAAATTTCAAGGGTGATACACCTGTATGGTACTGGATTACCTTCATCCCGCAACTGCTGACAAGTTTATCCCACCGTGAAGCAAGATTGTCCAAGGCAGTTCTCAGCAAGATCGCCAAGTTATACCCTCAATCTCTATTTTTCTTGTTAAGGACATGTCGTGAGGATTTAGTTTCTATTCGCAAGTCGCATGAGCAGAAACAGGAGAGGCTCAACCGTGCGAAACAGCAGCAAGCATCCCCTAGCGTAAACATCAAGGATAGCTCACCAGAGTCGAAGCCTGGAACGGCGGGGTCCGATGGTACTACATCTAATGGCGCAGCGGATGCACAGGCTTCTCCTCGACAGCCTAATCTTGGCCAAACTGGCCAACCCCGACCAATCGGACAGCCGGGGCAAGCCGGACAACCAGGGCTAATTGGACAACCAGGTGCACCGAACTCCTTGCAGCAAAAACCCGACCCAGATACTGCACAAAAAGAGCCACTTAAGAAACCATGGGAATACGCAGAAGATGTCATGGCTACCCTTAAGACCGCGTTCCCTCTCCTAGCACTTTCGATGGAGACAATGGTCGACCAAATCCACAAGAACTTCAAATGCCCGCCAGATGAAGATGCATACAGACTCATCGTCGCATTACTCAATGATGGTCTAGCTTATGTTGGCCGGATGCCTGCTTCGTATGCACAAGACTTCAAGCTTCCACCGGCGACGGAAGGCAACATTACCCGCTTTGCGGAGACCATCCTTCCCGCTCATATCCGCAAGTCCTTCGAAGCTGATTTCGTTGTCAAGAAACCGACGATGCATGAGTACATCCACAAACTACGACGGTGGCGGGATAAATTTGAAGAAAAGCTTGATCGACGGCCACACACCCAATCCCTCGAAGCATTCTCTCCTCACCTCAGTGAGTTCAAATTCCTCAAGTTTGATGAAATTGAAGTGCCTGGGCAATACTTGGAACACAAGGATAAAAACCAAGACTTTGTCCGCATCGATCGCTTCCTGCCGAATGTTGAACTTGTACGTGGAATTGGTGTCTGCCATCGACGTTTGAAAATGCGTGGTCACGACGGCAGCTTACATTGCTTTGCTGTTCAACATCCTGCTGCCCGCCATTGTCGACGAGAAGAGAGGATTTTGCAGCTCTTCCGGATCTTCAACGGCATTCTCTCTAAACGGAAGGAGAGCCGACGCCGCAATATTTACTTTCATCTCCCTCTCATGGTTCCTCTCGCTCCTCATATACGTCTCGTTAAGGATGATCCGTCTTATATTTCACTGCAGGGAATCTATGAGGACCACTGTCGACGGACTGGCATTGGCAAAGATGAGCCTGTGCTATTTACCATGGAGAAGATGCGGTCTCTGGCAGAGATGAAACAAAATGTGAGTGATTCTGGGTCTCACCCGTTTACTGAATTCTTTATTAACCATAATGAACAGCGCACACCTGAACAATCCTTAGTTTTGCGGTCGGAAATCTTCTCTGCCATCCAACAGAAATGGGTCCCCAACACGATCCTGCTCGATTTCTTCCAGAAAACATATCCCAATTTTGCTGATTTCTGGCTCTTCCGTCGCCAATTCTCCTATCAATATGCCGCAGTGGCATTTATGACTTACACCATGCACATGACTAATCGCTACCCTAACAAGATCTCCATCTCCCGCGCCACAGGGGACGTCTGGGGATCCGAATTGATCCCCAACATTCACACTGCCAAGCCCCTATTCTTCAATCCCGAACACGTACCTTTCCGCTTTACACCAAACATCCAAACATTGATGGGCCCCTTGGCCACCGAGGGTATCTTTGCCTGCGCAGTCATGGCGATCGCCCGCTGCCTTACTGAGCCACGGCATGAGCTGGAGCAGCAACTTAGCATCTTTGTCCGCGACGAAATGATCTTCTGGTCAACCGCGCAGCGCAGTTCGACAATTGAGACCCAGCTGCGGGAAATGGTACAGAGCAACAGTGAATTTATTGTCAACAGAGCTGTTAGCCTTGCGAGCCCACCTGAAGGAAACTTGCCTGCCAATCAATCTGTCATTGATCTTATTTCGAGAGCAGTTAATCCACAGAATCTTGCGCAAAGTGACGCGTTATGGATGCCTTACTTGTGATGTTACCATTCGCTGGTTCTCTCTCCGTCTACTAAATTTCCCTTTTTATGTGTATATGTTTTCACAGTTTTGTCCTTGTAAAGTTTCCTCTCAATATTTTAGCTGTCTTTTAGCTGCTTTAGTTTTATTCTCGCTTTCTGTTGTTGTTTTGTTACATGTTAATTTTCCTCCTCTCTTCTACTGGAAATGCAATGTAGAGCACTCTAGATGATCTGGAGGCGGAAGCAAGCACAATTTCTGCCATTACTTTGTCTGGCGTTCTTTGGGGTCTGGATGATTTTATTCTCTGGAGGCTTGAAAATAATCGTTTATTATTTTATTACTTGTTTATATTTCGCATGTTCAAATGGAATTTCCATATAAATTCCTCGATGAATGTTATACATGTATCATAACCCAACCGGCCGGAAAATATTAAAGAAAATTTCATATAACTCTCCCGATATATGATATGGCCCGTGCATCCCATGAAAATGATCCAACCACAATGATAACGCCCAGATAATGCTTGGAACCAGATGTTAATACTACGGATCAGAAATGAACATCAAACCAACGGGGCCTTCTTCTTAATCCCAAGACCTGCATTAAACGGCTTCTTCTGTTTTCGGACTCTCGTAAAGGACGGGGGTGGCATATCGGACTTCTCGTTGGCCAACGTCCTCCCATTCGACGAATCTGCTTCATCATCCACTAATCGCTTAACCCTCTCACCACCATCCGTCATAAATGCCCTCCTCGCAGCCTCTTCATCCTCCCTTTCGGCCCTAAGTTTTGCCTCCTCCGCCTCTCTCTGTGCCTTCAGTAGCACCGCCTCCTCGCCGGCCTCTCTCTCTCCCCGCTCAATTCTTGCATTCCTTGTCCGAATCTCATCTAACGCATCCGCTACAGCCATCTCGCGCTTCGAATCCTGCATCTTCTCCTCCAGTTCCATCATTTTATCTCTTTCTTCCCTCTCCTCCCTTTCTCCCTCCTCCCTCTCCAGCCTATCCAGCGTTTCATCCATTGTTTCATTAACCTCATTTTCCTTAGCTTCCCTCCAAGGTTCAAAATTGCGCTTAGCACCACGTTCGCACGTATAGTCCATGTTTTTGGGGTCAGTTTTGAAGGTGATTTCACTGCTGCAGCGAGTGCAGCGAATATAGAAGCGATAGATGGGGATATTCAGGTATTTCTCCTCTGTAGTTTCTTTGCGCGCATTGAATTTGCGGCCCTTGTAGATGTATTCGCCGCAATTTGTACATTTCAGGCTGAAAGGCGCCATTAAGCGGACTGTCAAGAGCTTGGGGCCGGTTGCCCGTAGGTGTTTGGGTGTTCGTGTTATGACCGACGGGTCGAAATCCGGGGGGTAGTATTTCGTGAGCACCTTGCGTTCAGACATGGTGGTCTAAGTAAATGGGTGTTTCCCTTGAAAAAGATATGGGTACCGAGTAATGTATGGTTGTATATCCTGTGATATCACTATGCTTGAATGGGGAGGCGAATCACTGAAGTGGAGTGGATTTTGCAGTCCAGAGAAGTTGCACAGAAAGGAGAGCAGTGGTGGTCTACGCCACCTGGAGTTCTGTTAGGCATTACTACGGCTACCCCAGGCACGTGCCACCTAACATATTGTGTTGCTCTCGCTTAGATAGTTAACAATCACACAACCAACATTATCCTCCTACAGGTTATGAAGCCCTTGCACTTCTACGAAGCGATAACTTGCAATAATAACTTCTTCTTCTGTTAAAGAACCTCTTATTCTATTCATTTTGATACCCTGATATCTGATAACCTCAATAACTTGATAATCAAATGCCTGTCAGTACGCGAGCAACCAACCGCGAAGAAACACCAGAGAACCAGATAACCCCTGGAACCTTTCCAACACCGGTAACCACAAGAAGACCACGATATCAAGCCCCAGAACGCGAAGAGATGGCAGATCAAGATGAAGCTGCAGTGCTGAGGCATCGTATTGCCCAGTTAGATGATGAACTACGCCAAATGAGAGCTGCTAGCACCCCTGCTACTGCTGCTGCCCAAGATGGCAATGAACTAAGCCCTGACCTTGCTGCTCACCTGCGTGATCAAGGTGACACCCCTGCCTTGAGCAGAGTCCTTCAAGAATTCCGTGAACGAGTCAAATACCTTCAAAAACCAGGTCTTCTAAAATCAGCATCTGATTACCCGATTTGGAAGGAAGAGATCCTGCTTGCCATCAAGCAATCCCATACAGAGGATATCCTCACCACCAAACCCCTGGAAAATGCCAGCAAGGATATGAAACGATACTGGGAGGAACGAAACTCCTGGCTATACAATTTAATATGGTCTTCAGTTTCTGTTGAAGCCAAATCTCTTTTTACTATACCTCAAGATTCCCTAGATTCTTCTGCCCTATGGAAGGTCATAGAGGCATCTTTTTCAGAAAGGGTGGAGATCCGCAGAGTCCGCCTATCCAAGGAATTCAATGATATCACAGCTGCCACTTATGGGGGATCTAGTCGCTCCTTCATAGAACGCCTCCTAGCAATCCGTGTTGAATATATCCGCCTAGGATATGATGTCCCCAACTTCATACTATTCGATAAACTCCTCAACGGCCTCACCAAGGGGTGGTCATCATTTGTCAAGGATCGTATGGACCATGCAGCGAAGGATGATAATAATGTCAGACCATTTGAAGACAACTTCCTTGGCCTTTGCAATGATATACTACTCCGCCTGCCATTAGATGACAAGAATGTCAATGCTGCTACAGGTTATATGAAGGACAAGAACATCAAGGATAAGAGCACCAAGGAGTGCAACTACTGTGATCGAAAGGGTCATGATGAGACTCACTGTTGGGACAAGTATCCGGAAAAGAAACCAAAGAACCTACAACAAAAAGCCTCCACTGTGGAGCCAGTGAATGTTATAGAAGAACAGGTCTTCTAATACCTCTAGTTGAGGTAGTCACCGTTGATATTCTCTAGTTGAGGATCGCTCCTAGTTGGAGCAGTATGTCGTCTACAACCTCTAGTTGAGGAAGCCGTTGATATTCTCTAGTTGAGGATCGCTCCTAGTTGGAGCAGTATGTCGTCTACAACCTCTAGTTGAGGAAGCCGTTGATATTCTCTAGTTGAGGATGGAGCTCCTAGTTGGGGCAAAGCATGTTTTTGATGATAGTTGATGGTAATGGTAATACAGCAGATTGATGGATTTTGCTTGTGTTTCTCTGTTTTTTGTGGTTATTGTCATACGGGCACCTATTCCTAATAGGGAAATCAGGGTCCGAGGCGGAGTTAATTATTATTGTGTTTTTGAAGGATTTGAGCGAAGGGGGGGCCCTGCTGCCCTTTGTGGCCACGCCGTAGCAAGGGGGGGTGTTAGGCATTACTACGGCTACCCCAGGCACGTGCCACCTAACATATTGTGTTGCTCTCGCTTAGATAGTTAACAATCACACAACCAACATTATCCTCCTACAAGTTCCAAAATCACGTGGGTCACAGCTCATTTCACAAAATACGGTTCTCCCGGAAAACGCCTGGAATGCTGTACAAATAAAAATGAACATATTTCTTGAATTCATTATTTTAGTACGATATTCAGTAATCGAGAGAAATCTCATTTTAATCGTATGTAAACAGATATGTTCTTGAATGTGCTCTCAATACACAAATACATACATTACCGTACTGATACTGCCATGTGATGTCAACAAACGCACAGACCACATCTCGATTGTTCTTCCTCGCAAAGAACGTGGAATGCGAGTTTTTTGCGACAAGCTCAACATCTTAATACAAAAAGGTCTCCACACCGTAGCCATTTGGGGGATACACCCACGTGAATTGCGCTATTTTATCTGGATGGAGTCACGGTCTTTGAGCGCTGCGTTTTGAGGCGTCCCGCGCTTGACCCTTCATGGAGTCTTATCTCCGCAGCTGGCGGCAGGATGCCTTGAACAAAGGCCAGCATGACGCAGCTATTTATATAGGCGACAAAGTGCTTGCCCTTACAAGTGAGACTTCTAAAGTCCCTAGGTCGATGACATGTTTTACCTTGTGCACTGACAATATTCCCAGATAGTGACAACGATGCCTTCTGGCTTGCGCAGGTGCATTTCTCAAACGGCAATTATACTCGAGCACTGGCGTTATTATCGAAGAAGGATTTGATCGCCAGAAGTTCCTCATGTAGATATTTGGCAGCTCATTGCTATATCAAGCAAAACAAATTTGACCAAGCCCTCACCATTCTTGGTGACAATAACCCTACCCATCTGATAACCAGCTCCAGCAATACTCGGCGGAAATTACAACATCTGAACGGGAACTCCAATGTTACTTTGCGAAATGGCAAAAGCGCTTCTTCTCGAGCCGATCGTATTGACAGAAGTGAAGAGAGAGAACGGGAGAATACCAAAAATATCAAGTTTGAGGCTGCCATGTGCTATCTACGGGGATTGTGCTTTGCGAGACAAAACGCTTTCGATCGAGCCAGGGACTGCTATAAAGATGCTGTGCGGATTGATGTGCAATGCTTTGAAGCATTCGATCAGCTTATGAAAAACTCCCTTATGTCTCCAGCTGAGGAACTCGAATTCTTAGAATCCATTGATTTCGACTCCATTACTTATTCTACCGACCCGTCAGTAGCACAAGAAGCCGCTGAATTTACGAAACTCCTTTATACCACTCGTCTATCGAAATACTCATCCCCGTCTGCTCTTTCTTACGCTACAGAAACACTATCTACACATTATAATCTTGCCGATAATCCCGACCTTCTACTCTCGCGCGCAGAAACCCTCTATACTCAATGTCGATTCCCTGAGGCATTGTCTCTTACATCCTCTATTCTCTCATCCTCTGAGGATTCTGTCCCTTTGCTCGTCTCTCAAGGGAGCCAGGGCCATAACCTTGGCCATTCCCCTGCCGTTTACCCCCTCCATCTAGCCTGTTTATATGAAACGGGTGCCACTAACGCTCTATTTCTGCTTGCTCATTCTCTGGCTGACAACGTTCCAGAGGAATCATATACATATCTCGCTATTGGTATATACTATATGTCTGTTTGTAAAATATCTGAAGCTCGGCGCTTTTTCTCCAAGGCCTCCCTTCTGGACCCTCATTCAGCCCCTGCCTGGATCGGGTTTGCCCACACATTCGCGGCAGAGGGGGAACATGACCAAGCAATTGCAGCATACAGCACCGCTGCGAGGTTATTCCAAGGAAGTCATCTTCCACAACTATTTTTAGGAATGCAACACCTTGCTCTCAACAATATGTCTCTAGCTCACGAGTACTTGTCTGCCGCCTATTCAATGTCCTCTGGCTCATTATCTGATACCATTCCATCTTCTAATGAGTCAGTTTCTCAATCACTTCCTCCATCCGGTGGCGATCCATTGGTACTTAATGAATTAGGGGTCGTTTTATACCACGAGAACAACCTTGAGGGGGCCGTCGAATTATTTCGCCAAGCCCTAGCCTTAGCCTCGTCATTAAATTGTGAGCCAGGGGCATGGCTCGCTACGAGAGCTAATCTAGGACATGCTCTACGTCGTTTGGGACATTTTGAAGAAGCACTCGCCGAGTTTGATGAATCCCTTCGAATCGGAGCAGGTGGGTCTGTAACTGGTTATTCAGCAGCAATCGCTGGTGCAGGAGCAGGTGGCCTTGTATCTGCTGGCTCCACAAGTGTCGGTGGCTATGAAGATAGGGGCCTCACTGGGTCTTTACATACGGCGCGCGGCCTGGTATTACTTGAACTAGGACGGACTATGCAAGCCGTCACTGCACTACATGAGGCGGTTCGCGTCTTAGGCGCGAGTGGCAGCGATGCTGCAGCCGGTGCTGGCGTTGCGGGAACTTTACTCTCAAAGGCACTTGAAATATGGGAAATTGAACAAGAGCATCAGGATTACGTGCCACCACCCAACACCCGACAGACTTCAGCTAGCGCTAGCAGTAGGGACAGGAATCAGCCCAAAGGCAAGGAGAAGTCAAGGGACAAAACAATGACCCGAGCTAAATCACGTGGATTGGACAGACGGGTTCCCTCCGAGGAAGAATGGACGAACGACAGGGGTGGCGTTGTGGAGGACCAAAGCCAATGCGTTGAGATGGAATTGGATGGTGAGGCGGATAGTTTGCTGAACCCGGCTTTGAACCATGCTAGAGCCAGGAATAGAGGTAGGGAGTGGGACCGCGAAGACGCTTCAGGGGTAGCAAGGCGTGGGGTCGGCGTGACTGCCACCCAGGTGCCAGATTCTGGTATTGTTGCTGCTGAATCTTCAAGATCGCGTACGACCAGGTTTGCCGGGAGGCGGAGGAGCCCTTCTCGTCGGGGGCCCGGTGGATGATGGATGAAACGATGCCCAATGATGTCCGCGCGTCTTTTCAGCGACGGGACAGGAGATAGTGAACTTCGAAACCTCATTACCTATATATTATAGCCCCCTTTCGGTATGTCCCCTGTGTTGTGTTGAAATCATGGGACCATGCGATGAAGGGGCTAGACATGTTGATAGCTGATACCCATTGTGAGCCTTTCTTATTATTTATTATATGGAGTATGAGTATGATAATGTATTGCTCCGGAGTGGTTAGTGTTTTGCATTATATCCCTCACTTATATATATGCTTCATGCACCAGTAAGCTAATAGTGGGGTGCTACAGATATTGGTGCATATATAAAGAGAGAACTAGGATTGGGAAATACAGAAATAAATATGAATTAAGTCCTGGACATGGCGTTTTGTGCATGGCGAGATGCTAGATAATATGGCTGCTGCTGATGAAGCTGTGTATATGATAGATAGAGAGATCCAACATGAGACGGTCATGACAATCATTAGGTAGCCCTTGCAGAAAACATATTTCGAATGGGAGCTATGTGTAACTATGCTAGATGGATAGTGCTTAGTTTCCATTCATAACCCGATGGTTTTTTTTTCGGCTGTTTGACGCAATAGGAGAGAAAAGCAATTCAACAAACATATCGATCATAAAATGCCCGTTAAAAAGTCGACCGATTATTCCATTGAATTAACAGGTGTCATATAAACATTCAGCGGCGGTTTCGTATAAAAGAGGAACACTTTTTGTTTTGCCAGCCAGTTCGCGCTCTCTTTCGCAAGACTCATATCAAAGTTGTAGATTAATCGCGCCAGAATGAGGCGCATTTCCGCATACGCTAGGCTGCTCATATGGGATAATAAATAACCAGTCGTTAGCGGTGTAATCAGTCTGATTTCTTTCAAAGTCCCAAAAAAAAATATATATAGCAGATGGGAAAGAAATCTAGGATGTAAGGGAACATGTGGGAGGTATTGAGAAAACATTTCATTATCGAGTTTTGGTATTCTCGTTGTTCTTGTGCGCTGGACTTACTTTCTACCGAGACAACTTCTTGGTCCAATATGGAAGGGTTGGAGCAGATCGCGCTTGTCACTGGCATATTTGGGATCGCCTAAGAAACGTTCGGGGTGGTAGGCGAAGGGGTCTGTGAAGTACTTTTCACTGTGATATGTTGCCCAGTGGTGGACCGCGACCACAGTCTATGCCCGGTGTATGATAGATAGATCGTCAGTCTAAATACGAAGATGCAGAAGGAGGTAGACAGCGTCGCTTCTGTTTCTAGGCTAAAGGAATGAACTCCCATACATCTTCAGGGATGAATTTCCCAGTTATCTCACAGCCGCCTTTAGGAACAACTCGAGGTAGCCCGAGTGGCACTGGTGGATACACTCTCAGTGCCTCGTCAAGACATGCAAGCATGTAGTTGAGGTCATTAGCGGAGCTCATGTTAATTTCGTCCTCGCTTTTGAAGGCTGAGCGGACCTCTGCGGTCAACCTTTCAAGGGTTTGAGGGTTCGATAACAGCAGATATGTCACGCCGCACAAGAGCGTTGCGGTAGTTTCGGACCCGCCAACGAGGAGAAGTCTGGCGTTTGCTGAGAGCGCATCCAGACTCATATTCTAATGAAGAGGGAAGTCAGGTTAGCGTGGAGGCAGTCGGGTAGTATTGTGGAGCTGGGGATTATTGATCCTTCCAAAGTCGGGTGATTTTTTATTTGGATTTATCTTTCTTTCTTTCAAAAGGTCATATATTATTGCGTACAAGCAACAATGATTTCTGTCCTTCCTCTGAGAATAACTTACCCATTCATCCTTTTTTTTCAGCAGTCCCTCGATTAAATCGGAGCGCTCGATACCAAGTTGCATTCGCCTGAGGATTTTTTCCTTTGCAACGTTCGCCTGACTTTTCATTGCCGACCTTGGAATCAAGTTTAAGGTCTCTTTAGCTAGCGGGAAAAAACTAAGACACTGCAAGAACACTGCAATCTTCCCTGATGCCAGCATGAGCTTGACGAAAGGATGAAAGTAGGCGTTTTCGAGACATCCAAATGATTCACCGAACGTCAGATCCCCGATGACATCGAACGTGGCATAGTTATACCACTGCGTCAGATCGAAAGGCTTAGAACCCCCTCCGCCCCGTTCATGAAATCTTTTCACCAAGAGGTCTATGTGCTGGGTAATGAGAGGCTCCTGTTCCCTCATTGATTTATCCGAGAAACCATGGGCAAGTTGACGACGTAGCCGGCTGTGATCATCGCGATCTGCACTGATAATGCTGGTTGCTTTTTTCCCTCCTGTAGGGCGATAATACTGCTTGAATTTTTCCAGTTGTTCTTCGCCGCTTCTGCGATTTCCCAAGATATCCTTCCAAGAACCCGGGCCGGAGATAGCCAGCTCATTAGGGGCGATCCGTACTATGTCACCGTAAGTCTTGTGCAGGTCCAGAATGTCAAATTCTAGAGTCCCGCGAAGGCTTTTGTAGATATATGGAATCTGGCTCATCGCATGGCTGGTTGGACCAGGGAATGAGCGGAGAGGATGGAAGAAAACATTGTAAATAAAACGACTAATCAGATATAAGATGACCTTGAAATATTTTCGTTAGCGAAACAGCAAGTTATATATCTTGGGGCATTACCTATTTGCTTTGTCCCACTTGGAAGGTAGTAAGTAACTTTTCAACTTACAATTGAAAGGCTGGTAGCCGCAAGTATAAATGGACTCTGTGTGAGTGCTTGGATTGTCACTATCACCGCCATGATCGCTACCTCTTTCAATGGAAACAGAGCGGGAATAAAAATGACGGGAAGGAAAGTATTAAAGCGCTGATGGGAATTACAATCAATAATTCCCTGATTTGATCGTTGCCCCAATGGAAATCGTGAGACAACGGAAGCTGAAGAATATCTCCGGTGCTGCCTAGATGTATCCGGCCCTTGGTTAAAAGCAAGGGGATGACTGGCCTGCGCTCCGATGTTGATTATCATCTACGAACCATGCATGATCTGGTTCGCTCAGATTCATGGATTCCGCTTTCAATCGGATTTTCTGTGAGTGCGTTTCGCTATGCACTGTTATCCATTCACAGAAATGGATAATCGTTGAAACCCTACTGGAGACCACCAGATCTTGATATTATGCGGAGGACGGCGGGACCGATGGCACTAGACTTCCATAGGGAGTTATTTGCGCCCGACCGCTAACTTCTCCGGACTTCTATCCAATGGGGTCAGGCTTGTTATTCATGCCAATTGTAACTAGTTAGTTAGCTCTTATGATGAAAGAACTCGGAAACTAAAATATAGCAAAAAGGGTCTGGAGGAGGGGAAGAAGCTTGCTAACAGTTCCCTGCATGGGAATTTCTTTTTTTTTTTTTTAACCCAGGAGGTAAGAAACGGGCGAAGAGGGAAAATCTGAAAAAAAAAAAAGGGGGGCATCAAAAGTGTCCCACAACAGAGTCCAGATCCAATACATGGATCCTAGCGATATGAAGTACTGTCTGGAACACATGGGAGACGATATCAATGTGCTCGTGAAGTGACATGATTATTTCTTATCTGAGGTTGCAATTTGGACACTCAAATAGTTGATGCGTTGACACAAATGGGCAGCCTAATTAGCCATTACACGAATTTTCGACACTTTTTTTCTCGAATAGTCCTTATCTCAGGAGATGTTAGCGAGGACGTAAGTTATTTAGCAATGGTCGCAGTGGCATCGATTTCTTATCGTGTAACCTGTTACCTTTAGTTATATGGGAAACCCATCGCGCATCGACCATCAAAGCCAACCAAGGCATCGCGGATCGTCCAACAACGATCATATAGATATCCGGATCAACCATACAGACGAGATTGGACCGGTAATTCAGAGCTTAAATGTGTCAAGAATCACAGCGGATTGCCGAAGAATCGCGGGCGGGAATGCATCATGTTGGGTTCCGTGATTGTCTGGAAGACGGGCGAAGAGGCATGGGGTTGCTGCTATCTACATATATATATATATATATAGCTATCCTGTTGGAAGAATAATTACCTTCCTAGCGTTGTAGGGGCTGGATATCTACCTCACATCGCCGCTGCAATGACCAACAACACTAAGTACTTTTCCCACAGCAAGGCTGGCGATTGGCCGGAGTTACCGAGTCGCTTAGCCGAAACCCGATGTTTGCCGGACGCCAAAGGCCAGCCGACAGCCGACAGCCGATGTCGGGGAGCCCTGCAGACTCTGTCACGGTAGTTGGCCCCTTAGCCGTGTAGGAATGCTGCGAAGCCTGGTACCGGGGGGATTCCAAGGTTGTGTTGCGTGAACGAAGTTTCGCCCAGGGCTGGCTGGGTGAACTTGATGTTAGATGCGGAGAGCCCCGCTAGTTAGTTAGGCTAGAACTTCACCCCTCCGATCATGCCGAAGAACAAAGAGCAGTTCGGCGAGACAGAAGTTGAAAAAAAAATAAAAATAAAAATCCCAGGCACATACATTCCCACCCGCTGCAATAGCTACTTTTGAATATCCTTGCGCCGCAATTGAGCTATCGATAATTCAATTCTGACTACTCTCACGGGAGTCACATTCAACGTGTTGAAGTGACTTCAGCAGGACGGTTTAAAGAGGAGAAGCAGCGAACAAAAGATAATATCCTCACAGCTGGCATCTTCCACAATCTTACCTACCACCTTGATTACCATTTCCACTGATCCTCAGTAACTTCTGCCGACTTACCGATCCCTCTTGTCACAAATGGCTCCCCGTCTAGAGGGCAAGGTTGCCATAGTCACCGGTATGCGCATGCTATGTTGAATCGCATCACCTCACATCCTTCATTTCTAAATTGATTTAGCTTTACACATAGCTAACAGACCCTCGAACGAGCACTAACAGGTGGTGGCTCCGGATTTGGCGCCGCAATTGCCAGACGCTATGCACAAGAGGGTGCAAAGGTGGTCGTTGGTGATATCAACGTTGTCGGGGGTGAGAAAGTAGCCTCTGAAAACCCAGCGAGCATTGCATTTATGAAAATGGATGTGACCAAGGAAGAGGACTGGAAGGCTGTGGTTGACCAAACTGCGAGCAAGTTTGGCCAAGTGGATATCCTGGTGAATAATGCCGGCACGACCTATAGAAATAAGGTGAGTTTTCGAAACATGGTGTATATATATATATATATATATATATAGCTCAGATATGTATATACGCCTCTCCTCCTGCTTTTTGACGATGGGAATTGAGGAGAGAGACTGAAAGACTGAAACATCCCAATATGCTTGTTGCGCCCAACGCATGCCATACCAAATGGATGGCCATTCACACACATACACCATAGTTACACCCACCAACCTCCATAATAACCTATTTATGACAAACAAGCCAGACGAACAAAAAGGCTAACATATAAACCCCTTCTGCGCATCCCAAAGCCCTCAATGGAAGTGACAATAGAAGAATTCCAACGCGTCTTCGACGTCAATGTAAAAAGCATCTTCCACGCCTCCAAAGCCTTCATCCCCAAGCTTCTCGAGCAGGGCAAGGGTGGTTCCATCATCAACATCTCCTCCACCGGTGCCTCTCGACCCAGGCCAGGCCTGGTGTGGTACAATGCTTCCAAAGGCGCCGTTTCGAATGTAAGTATTTAATTCCCCTTCCCCTCCTAAGCGCCCCCCCCATTCATCTCCATCCACTACAAACAAATACAGAGCCAGATTAACTAAACCAGGAACCCCCCTCTTCCCCTATATATACACACAGGTAACAAAGGGTCTCGCCGCCGAGTACGGCCCGAACCAGATCCGCGTCAACAACGTCTGCCCCCTGCTCTCCGGCACGGGCCTGTTCGAGATGTTTGTGGGCGTGCCGGACACCCCCGAGAACCGGGCCAAGTTTATCTCCAACGTGCCGCTGGGCCGTTTGACGGAGCCGGATGACGTGGCGAATATGTGTGTGTATCTGGGCAGCGAGGAGGGTGCGTTCATCAATGGGACGGATATGATTGTTGATGGGGGCAAGTGTATTTAGATGGTGCGTGTTTGTACGGGACATGTATGTTATGTACAGTACGGGGTACATGTACCGTGTGTTGAGAAGAAGTTTCCGGGGGCGGTTGCAAATGAGGAAACGAAAATTGGTGGGATAGCTGTTTTGAGGGAATCTGCGAGCATAGAGGTAGAGCGTTTAGCATGCTTTTGGGGTTGGATTTCTGCGGTTTATGTATGCTAACAGGCTGTGTGTGTGTGTGTTTGGGACGGGTTGTTGATTTAAGTGAGGTTTTTCATTTTGCTGACTTTCCAGGTGGTTGGAGAGGGTGGGATATTTTGATCGAATGGTGCTATGCTCATCGTATTGAAGATTGAAGGGACAGTACGTACTTCTACATCTGCTTAGCTGTTAGTAGTGCCTGTATTCTCTGTGCCACCAGCAAGTCTGCTCATTTTTCATTTTTCATTTTTTTTTTTTTTTGCAATAATTAATTGATAACTCTCCCCGAGAGGGATATGATAAATATTTGATATTGAAAAGGAAGAAGATAAGGAGGAAAAGACGAGTGAGGAAAAAAAGGGGAGGGGAGGGAGGGGGAAAGCGCGAGCGATAATACTATATCACTATTAACATTTTCACAGATGGCTAGTTAACTTTGAGATAAATAGCGAAGAAAATATACACAAAAGAATTCTCCTCTCCTCCTCATCTCCTTGCTAACTTTTCCTTACTCCGACCCCTAACCAGGACAGGACACACACCAAGTTTACTAGCCATACCTCGCTCGCGTAGCATACGATATGAAAAAAAAAAAATTGATAATAGATAATCAATGGAAAGCAGCTCAGACAGACACCCCACGCCCCACACCCCATTTTCTAATGCAAATGTCCGTGCCCATGACGCTTGTGGACCTTTCGAACAGCCTTGGCTCCAGCAGGCGGTGTGGCACCGGCAGGAAGTTCAATAGTAGTCGTAACCTTCTCTTCCATGATGACAAGCTCGTAAACGACGTTGCCCTCGGTGTACGTGCTCGTGGAGATGGGGGTGGCATTTCCGTACTCTTCTGGGGCGAAGAATTGCCCGGGGGCTGGAGCTGGGGTTGTGGTGTGTTTGACGGGGGGAGGAGGAGAGGGGGCTGGTGGAGCTGGAGATGGAGGCGGAGGGGGAGGAG